ATTCACGCAATAGTAATTCTATACATCTCAACATTACACAAAATTGCTCAATAACTTGTCTTAACAATAGTGAGCATTACATTCTAATCTGTATTTAAGTTTCTTTTCCTGTATAAGTTCCATGATCTTCTTGTAGGGACCAAGGGTAGGCCACCCCAAGATGGGCCACTTTGGCAGGAAGATTATTTTGAGTTAAAAAGCAATCTAGGCCCAGCAGATTCAGGAAAACCTCTTTACCTCCCCCCCTCAACTGCCTACAAAGAATTGAGAAAGAGACCCTGTTCCAGAAAGAGAGCTATCACCATAGATAATTACATTATGCTATAAACTAGGGTATGATAGACTGGGAGGAACCTAGCAAGGCCTGTTTGATCAAAATCTTCTGTGTCCCACTGTTTCCCAATAACGCAAGAAATATTTGCTTACCAAACATTTACTCTTTTTCATTTTCCTGTGAATTGCATTCTTTCCCTTTGAAGTCCCAGACTACTACCTGCCTCCTCCTTCATTCCAAATGATAAGGGACCTCACTTTGCCAGACTGTCTTTGGAATTTCCAAGTCTGAGTAGATTCCCTGTATATGAAATTAAATTTGATTTTCTCCTGTTTGTATGGTAGGTGCAACAAATGTGCATATATATAATGAAACTTTGATAATAAAAGTAACATTCAATGCAGTATATATCTTCTCCAACTGATTTTCAAGAAAATTGTATTTCAAAATATACTCACTTAACTGAGAGATATTACCAGTGCTCTGAGATGAAACCATTTAAAGGATAGCTTTTATTAAAATAAAATGTTACAGTTTATGAAATTAAATTCGGAGTACATAATGTTGTAAGTATACTTATATAATACATATATAAGAAAAACAACAATTTCCTTTAGGGGGACAATAGGCATATCTTAGTTCCTTCTTTCAAATATATATTTGAATTTATTCATCCAATGGGACTTTTATTTAATCAAGATTCAAACAATCACTACTCTAATGGGTCAATTAAATCATTTAATTTTTATCATTTTATTACTATAACTTTGTTAGGAAATTGTTCTAGTTTTGTTCAATAAGCTCTATACACACTATGATTTTTAAATGATATGGATCAGTTAACACATATAACTCTTTTCAAAGATTCTATTGTAGGAGAATAAATCAGTTTCAAATAAAAATGAGCTGGAAACTTAACAGAAGAATTATACAGTTCCAAATACCCAGAGATGAAATTAAGTAATGGCTAAAAATTTGAAGATTATTAAAACTTCATATTGTACTTTGTAGTTTCACCTAGCAAATTTTTAGAAGTTTAGATTAACTTTAAATCATTATTTTTCAAACTTTTATAATTATATTTGCAGCTACTTTTTCTGGCCCATATCATTTGTGATAATTGGCAAATGTAAAAGTTAAAAATATTATGATAAAATAGTTTTGTTTGTTTGTTTTCCAGGATCAAGCAATGTACACAAGAATTTAGTAATTTAAACTACTTCATTTTGGTGATGTAGCTTCTCGTAACAGGCTATAGAATGGTATAAAATACCTTGAGGCTTCTGTCACTTGTTAAATCATTCTTTAAGAGTATGCAAATTAATTGAGATAGCAAATAATTCAAAAGGTTTTAATAAGATGATTGCTTCATAATTTTAATTCAACATTAGCTAAAATTAAATCTCATTTGGCAATTTAGAACATTAAACCCACAAAGTAGTCCATTATCTATATAATATGGAAATATATATACTATTTACATTTAGGCACGTACAATCTCAACAATTACTTCTATGCTCCTTTAGTCCTTTTGACTGGTGACTGTTTAATTGGACACAGTAAAAGTAAACAAGGGGAAAAAATGTGCCTTAAAGATACTAGATTTTTGTTGGTTTCCTATTTACTATGACGATCTCTTTTTCATTCTTTTACACTTCAGACATAAAATTATATATAAATGTGTATATTATGTGTGCATGTGTGTGAAAAACAGATTTGCCCCAGAATTTTCCAATGTAATAAATATTCTAAGAAAAGAAATCATAAACTAAAGTGTAGAGTTCAAGTCCTGAAAGAGGTGTTTTATTAGTGTTAGAATAATTTGGCATCTTCTTTGTATACTTGAACACTTTCAGGTCTCAAACTCTATGCAACAAGTTCTCAGATACTCCTGAAACCTAAATAATAAAAACCAGTCATGTAGGAAGCAAGGAGTATGAGCTTTATATATATATATATATATATATATATATATATATATATATATATACACACACACACACTATGAAATATTATATATATGCAATTCATATATATGCAATATACATTTATATATACACACACATGTATACACATATATATAATTCCTTTTGGTACCATAACTTACATTTACCACACAGATTTAATGAATAGCTATAGTGCAAAATATATTATGCTGAGAATATACAACATATATAAAGCAACGCTTGTTCGCTTCAGTGATATAACTAATTACTAAAGATAATATAAACATATGCACATATATGTATATGAAATAACTTAGTATTTTATATTCACATGGATATTTCCTACATGTAACATGACTGCAAGTTTAGCACAAATGCTATATTATTTTCATGACTTTAAGAAACCACTATAAAAGCTGGAATGTTTATCATTTAAAAAAATACTAGAATTCTTGCATCATTAGTTTTGCAGGAATAAGCCTTAGGTAGGCATGCAGGTTGGACTTGCTAGCAGGTATTATGTGCCTGGAATATCAACATTTGATTCACTCAGGAATAATCTGGAGTTGTTACCAGTTACTTGTACTTGGCAAATGCTCAGACACAGAATTAGATTCTTCACAAGAAGAGGGAATACATGAAAGGGAGCTTCTTGAAAGACATGATGGCATCCTCACCTGGAACTGGAAAGACTTCCCCAGTAGGCCAGGGAAGCTTGCCTCCGAGAGGAAGTGCTGTTAGATGCTATCCCCTGCTCTGGGAAGTCACCTTGGGATGTAGATCTTTTTGTTTACATTAAATGAACTAGACTCTGCCTATGTCTATCTGTGTCTTTTAGTCAATTACATCCTGTGACACTAGAGAGAACCGTGCCAGTATTTATTTTCATTCACTATTACAAGATTGAATTTTTAAACCTTGTGCTGAACTTAATGTTTCCTATGGGACTTTTTAAGAAGCAAAGAAAAAAAAAAAAAAGCTCGCCAATAGAATTCTGAAGGTTAGTATATTCTATGGAGATTGGAGATCCTGGTTCTTAAAACTTTATTTCAAAATTCCTTATAATCAGTGGGTTCTATGGCTTTTATTTGTATCACAGGTTCCCCAGAGAGGTGTGAGCAGCATGACACTAGTTTCCCTGAAACTAGCCTTTACAAACACAGGCTTTGTGCCTAACTCTAGAGGAAGCACAGAATTCTGGGATTACCAACAAAATGAAGTATTCCAAACTTCAGTTTCCTCTATGGTCACTTGAAAGTATCTTTTTTTTTTCCTCTTTGTTTTATTCTTTTCTCTTTTTCTTTCTGGAACCTATTTTCACATGAATCTCCTACCCATGAGCTCGTCATGAGTACAAAGACCAGTAAGGAATAAGCAATACTAAACTGTTGAATAGAACTTGCTATCTAAATGCTTTATTATTGGGGGAAAAAAACCCAGACAAAGTAATAATCAACTGGAAATCAGCCAAGGTATTTGACTAAATATTTTATCCTATGCAAATATCAGTTTGCATATTTATAGGGCAAACAGCACACTAGAGTCTGAGTTTCTACAGAATGGAGAGAGGGAATCGGTAAACAGCACCCAGAACCTTGTTCCTCCCAACCTCACTCACACACCTCAGACATAAATGAACTTTTTATTAGTCCCAAACATAATCTTTCCATATCTCAACTATTCTTTCAAATTTAAAGTCAGTTAATCCAATTTGCTGACATCCTTAAATCTAATATAAAAAGAGACATTTTTGGACTAAATTCTGTTTTCCATTTTCTGAGTTACAGAACCATAGAGAGAAAACAACATCATTTCTTATTGAAATGTGTACTTTCATCTAATTCATTCATATTCTTAAAGACTTTGCCAACATGTATTTAACAAAATACACATCAATTAAAATTTACAGCAGCGTTACCAGAGTTTGAAAAGATTGTGTTTAGTTTGCTTCTTCTCTTTTGGCCCTATCTGTACCACCTGCCATCCAATTTACCAGGGCATCCTCTAATATCCCAACATCAGGACATCATTAAATTTTTTCTTACCTTTATGAATTTAGGTACTTTTAATATTAAAAGCAAATTCAAAGCACACAATGTCTCCAGTTTTTTTGTTAGAAGTGTAACAGTGATTTCAATAAAAATAGTTAAAAATCTATTATATTTATCTCTCACAGTGAAACAATTATCTGTTACCAAAATCAAGCAAAAATTCAGTACCTAATATGTGAATTATCTCAATATGACTTGAAAATTGTGTAATCTACTCTTACAGCTTCAGATATGCAAACATAGCAGTTTAATGATGAGGTTTCCACAATTTAAGCAGAGGGGTGCACTGGAGTAGGTGGATAATTTGGGCAAAGGGCAAGAAATAGCCTGAAGTAGAAACAAGAATTGTGAAGACAAGAGTATTGTAATCTGAATTAGCAATTACTTGCAGTCTCCACTCTGCTTCATTGCACATAGCCAGTTTTTCACCATTAGATTTGTTGATGCTTTGGCATTAACCAACCACATAATACCATCATAATCAAAACACACACACACACACACACACACACACACACACACACACCACACTGATACTGTTCTTTTCTATTACTTCTAACTCAAGCAATAAGCAGATTTAAGGGAAAACTATAATTTAAATCGGGTAGTGACAATATAGAAATATTTTATCCTAATCCGACACCAAAATTCACCTCATTTTACTAGCTGAATCATCACATCCTTTCTTTCCTTTTGTCCCCAGTAGAAACAGACAAAAACATTACTTACATTGCACGATGAGCTGCACCAAGGCTTCTCTTGGTTTCACGTTAAATCCATTGTACTGGCTGGTCTGACACCTGTACATTCCTGACATTTCTCTAGATACATTCACAATCCTCAGTGTTCCATCATAACTCTCCATTTGCATTGACCCATCAGGCATTGCAACTTCTTTATCCGCTCTAGACCAGAGGATGATGGGTTTAGGTTTTCCAGTTACTTGACACTGCAGTTCTATTGTGTCCCCTTCTCTGGTGACCAGAGGTGATTTTTCCTGTGGAACAGTCAGATTGGGTGGAACTTGAAATGGGAAAAAGAAAATTTTTCAAGGTTAGTATAAACTGGTAAAGCATATCCAAACACAGAAAATCATAAGGAAACAATTTCTGCTGGTTGAAGAAGTGTGACAATTCAGATGACAAAAATAATAGAGACCTTGGGAGTAAGTGGCACATACTCTCACTTAAAAGAATTCTGAATTGTTTTCCTATGACTCTCACAGATGAGGTATTTAAACAACATTAGCAAAATAAATAAAGCATTAAATTGGAACATGAACGGTCAACATAAGAACAATCTACTCAATGACTTGTCATGATCAGTCATTAGCTGGGTTTTTAACATCTGCATTTCATAGAAGAGTGATCCTGCTTGCTGAGGGTAGGATCCAGCTTTTCAGTCTTGTTTCCTATGTTGTTATCTCTTATCCAAAGGTGCTCTAAGAAAGGGATAAGAGACATTTTCTACTTAGCAGGCACAGTAAATGCAAGTAATAGGAAAAGGAAAACAAAGAACCTCTGATAGAAAATCAGAAGTTTTGACTCTGGTGTACAAAATGTTGCCAAATTGCTAACATTTAAGGTTTGTTTTCTCCCTGATGGAAATGGAATGCAACAACAGACTTAGAATGCCACACTCTGACAATCCACTATATTCTTCTCTTTTGGACTTTTAATATTTTTAACATTTTAATTTCACATAATTTCCTTTTAAGACATTTTGAGATAACTATAAGTAGTTTGTCACAATTTGCCCCTATTTCTGTGGAATTAATTTTAAGTGAATTTTCAAGAACATATTTCAACAATAAAATAATTGTAATTTTTTCAAGTAAAGCTAATTTTTTAGTTTACCGAAGATATTTATGAGACATTCATTTTACGTGAAATTTACTGTGCTGGAATATATTTATGTTAGGGTTTAGTGAAAAGTATGAACCAGTAAGAGGCAAATACTTTTCGGTGTGTTGTTTTAGAAACATTACCTATTCCTCTGAAGACTTTTATTTCTTATACAAACATATATGAAATCCATTGTATTTGGGCAATTAAAATGTCTATCAAAAAACAAAGGCTAACTTAGAATGCCAGAATAAGAATAACCAGAAATATAGGAATAATTCTACCCTCCTGAGAAACATCATATGCTTCCTTTAGAGGTATCACTGCATACATGGATAAAAAGGCAAAGATTTTATTCTTCCTTTTGGCATTACTGTGTTCCAGTGCCCGAGAACAAAAACATAGTTTTTAAATTATTTTTCAACTTAATGTTGAACTGTTATTGCTCTTGTTACACATAGAGGAAAATAAATTTGAGTCCAAAGTGATAGGGAAGTTAATTATCTTGCTATTTAAGTATCTTCAGGTTTCTTTCCTTTCATTTAATTACTTCATTTGCTTCTTCTTTTTAAAAAAGTTACTTAAATAATGCATACATCTTAGAAATTAGAAAAAAATATGAAATATTAACCACCACTTCCTTGCATTTAATTTTTTTTAATTTTTTTTTTTTTTTTTAAATTTACATCCAAATTTGTTAGTATATAGTGCAACAATGATTTCAGGAGTAGATTCCTTAGTGCCCCTTACTCATTTAGCCCATCCCCCCTCCCACAACCCCTCCCGTAACCCTCAGTTTGTTCTCCATATTTATGAGGCTCTTCTGTTTTGTCCCCCTCACTGTTTTTATATTATTTTTGTGTCCCTTCCCTTATGTTCATCTGTTTTGTCTCTTAAAGGACTCATATGAACTAATGGATGAATGGATAAAGAAGATGGAGTATTACTCAGCAATCAAAAAGAATGAAATCTTGCCATTTGCAACTATGTGGACGGAACTAGAGGGTACTATGCTAAGTGAAATTAGTCAGTCAGAGAAAGACAAAAATCATATGACTTCATTAACCACCACTTTCTTGAAGCAGATATATACATTCTAGAATTTGGCAATAAAATATATTTTTAAATGGCTACATTTTTAAAACTTACATGATCAATTATTTGATTAACTTCTGTAAATATTAAAAAATTAAATTACTTAGTTAAATAGTTTTTAAAATTTTTTTTAACATTTATTCATTTTTGAGAGACAGAGACAGAGCATAAGCGGGGGAGGGGCAGAGAGAGAGGGAGACACAGAATCCAAAACAGGCTCCAGGCTCCGAGCTATCAGCACAGAGCCTGACAGGGGGCTCGAACTCAGGAACTGCGAGATCATGACCTGAGCCGGAGTCAGACGCTCAACCGACTGAGCCACCCAGGCGCCCCAATAATTTGTTCTTTTTGAAATGAACCACAAGGGAATGATGCAATTCTAAGCAGCATCTTATAAAAGGATGGGGAAGATGTAATATTTATTCACCCTCCATGAGAAAGCATACGGAATAACAGCAACAATATCTGCACTTAACATTAATTGTGCTCCTACTATGTGCCAGGCATAATTAGAGGTTTGACATTTTACTTCCTTGATAATCCTAAGGATTAAATATTTAATATTAAAATTTAACAAATGAGAACATTGAGAATAAGAGAGGAAAAACACTTTGATTTGATCAAAATTCAAATTGAGGCTAATTTAGAGCAGTTGGCCAATGTTGAGCCTCCAGTAAACTATGTTGTCTGGAATGAATAACTTGAGCTAACACTGGACCGCACTCCTCCTGCTCATGGCCTCTGTGCTCCTAGGGACAAAATGGACCAATTTTCCCTGCCCATCTCTTGGTCACTGTCTCAGGGACAATAAAAAGGGCCAAGGTAGAATTTAAAGTGGTAAATTACACACCCTTTGCAAATGACCTTATCTATCTTATATCTTACAGATCTATAGTTATCTTCAAAATCTCTGTCTATATTGGAATACTTCATATGTATAAGTCAAAACTGCTTATAAAATATAGCATCCAAACATATCTCCAAATTCTGATAAATCTACATGAAATAAAAGAAAATAAATTATAAATTAAAAGATTATTCAATGGAGTATTAGTTTTTGAAATATTCCTCCCATCTCTTCCAAAAATAAGTCACATGACCTTGGCCAACCTTAATCACTCTGAGTATTAATTTCTTCATTTTTGAAAATAAGAATGTGCACTTTATAAGCTCCAAGGTTATTAATGTTATGACCCTAAAAACAAATAGTAAAACGTTAAGGAAAGAAGTGGTGCTAAATGAAAGTGTATTTCCTGAATTAGTAAGAAGAATATTCAGAGACCTTATTACATTAGGCCATTCTAATACAAAATACATAATGGACTAGCTATATAACTTTTTGTTGTTGTTTACAATGCTACATAGTTCAAAAACTCCCTTTATAAATTTATTTATGTTATTTATTTAGGTAAACTTTCCTCCCTACAAAATCAATATTACATAAATGTAAGACTCAATTTTAATCCAGATGACTTAAAAATAGATTTTTAAAATAAATTAGCCCAATTTTTGCTAAACAGCAACACTCAACTAAAATATTGTTTCCATCTCTTCCATGAGGCTTTTAAATCTTGAAATCAGAGTGAATTTTTCTTTGCAACTTTCTTGGCCAGGAAGACCTTACAACTTCCCACAGTTTTCATAGGCTTGTCTTCTCTCTCCACATTAAATTTTCCATTCTTTAGAATTCTTCAGTCAACTCTCTTATTATTACTATAAATTTTCTTGTTACGAGATCTCATTTTTTCTCATGAATTTCTCTCTTTTATATGTTGATAACACAAATTCTAACTTTATCCCAAGGCTCTTTCAGTCTATGATTATAGCCTACTTCTATATCCCCAAAGTCTTTCAAATCCCCAAACCAAAGCACTGTTTATTTCTTGACTTAGTTGGTAGTTATCAACACACCTCGTCTGCTAACTGAAAGCCAAAGAATTTTGTTTTACCATTTCCTCTTGCTCACCACTTCTAATCAGCTGCGTTGTTTCCTCTATCAAAAATGACTCTCATATCTGCCTATTTCTTTTCCTGGCTAGAGGCACTCTTCTCAGTAGAATTCATCATTTTCTCTTCTTGTGACACTACAATAAGTGGTCTCTGTCACCAGTCTAATTCTTCCAGGCTTCCTACTACCCTGCTATAAGCTTTATCATCTTAAATACAATTTTGTTCATGTCACTGTGAAAACTACCGTACTCATTGAGAGTGCTCATAATACTGTTTTAATTTTTAAAAAAAAGATTGAAAACAGCCTGACGGATCCATTAAATAAATGGTGGTACAGTCACATATAAAATATGATGCAGCCTTTTAGATGATGATGTAATACACCTACATTTATTGATAAAGATGCTGAGATTGCTAAGAAAAAACATTCTAGTGAATAGTATGAATAGCTGTTATCACTATGATTGAGTAAAAGATGTTACTGAGCACTATAAACAGTAGTATCAAAATTTTATATCAAAAAGACATATGTTGGCGAATGTTAGCAAGGAGCTTCTTGAAAGGAAGAAAATATACCTTTATATTGTTAGTATCCAGCACTCTATTTCACACATAGTAAGAACTCAGTAAAACATGTTAGACTGAATGTACAAATTAAGAAAGGGAGGCAATTTTGCACTGATTTAGAGGAGAATAGGAGGCTTATACAGGAAAAATCTAGAGGAAAAGAAAATCCAGGAGGAACTATACCAAAACACTAATAGTGGTTCCCTCTGAGTGTGGGATTATTGATGAATTTTACTTTCTTTGTATATTTCCCTTCATCTTTCATTCTTCTACAATATGGACAATGCATATTAGTACATCATAGGTTCCAAGAAGCTCAGAGAAATCTAAAATGTTAATGCAACCAATTTTCCAAAGCTCATTTGATAAAAACTCCATTTTTTAATAACACAAATGTATCACCTGGACATAGCATTCTGTTCAACACAGTCTGAGAAACACTTACTCCTTTAACACTCATTCTCTTGCAGTTTCACTGACTGGTGAACTTCAATGCCCTTGAACAAGCACTTCTTTTCTATGTTCAGCATGTCTGGCCCTTGCTGAATTCTAGTAGCTCCTGCTTGC